GTTTCCTGTGGTGGCTGTGATTATCATTGTTTACATCATGTACTTGTGTTTGCCCCTGGAGTTTCTCAGTTGACTTTAAACCTCTTGATTTTTTTTTCCTAGAGATTTGTTTTATGGTATTTACTATTGTCCATTTCATATACAAAATAATTCATATGTTCTTAGACTGAATTACTCTGGCCAGGTGATAGTGGAAAATTGCGTTTATCTATGGAGATTCTGTTTTAAAACTGTCTTCAGCCGTTCTCATCTATTTTGGTTGTATGTTTTTCCCCTGGCAACTAGCTTTTTTTCTCTTTACATAGATTATGACTGGCACCTCTGTGAATCCTTCTCCATCTATCCTCTTCTCTCTCTTTTTTTAACTCTATTCTACGCTCACTGTAGCACTCAAAAGTTAGATCTAGGATCTGTATTATTTTTGCCCATGACTTGGTAGTGCCTGACAAGAGGTACTCAGTAAATGTTTGTTGCATTTATGAAGTATAAAGTAGCTTTGCTTTCTTGCTCTTGAATGAGATGTAGTTCATATGTAGTTATTGTTTCTTCATTATTGCTTATAAACTTAGCATCATTATTAGTAACTTAAGTCTGTTTGTAGTAAACTTCTAGTCTTTGGGACCCTTGAAAGTATCCATAGATTAAATGAAGGTGACCCTCAGCAGAAGGAGAATTTAGATTCATCTCTTGTAAGACAGTGAAGTAAATTGTGATGTTAAAACTGATACTAATGTGATGAAGCACACATTTTGTCACTGTAAAAATAAAACAGTATCTGGCAGCTGGAAAACAGGCTCGTGTGAAGGGCCTTATTTTCTAATGATGGAAGAAAATGTTACTCTCTACTGTTTCATTTCATGTTATCTCCAGAATTTATACGACTTCTGGGGAAAAAAGGTTTTCTACAAGAGCACACAAATATATTTGCAAATACATCAACACTACAACTACCTTTGAAATGCATTATAATAAAACCTTTAAAAAAAAAACACTAAAAACCTTAACCTATATTCGCAAATAAGGTTACAAAAATCTATTTGATAGCTGCAGTCTTAGTCCAGTAAATGTGATAAATATACTTTCAGTTAATCATGGTTATAATTTGAAAGGAAGGAAATGTTGGCATTCTCAGATACCATACGTTATTAATATCTTTAAAGTGTTGGGTAGTTTTTATAGTTAAGTGTCTGATTTGTTAAAGTTTAACAAATAAACTAAATAAACACCGACCTTTGTCTTTATTGGTTTCTATGGTGTCTTTTGCATCTCTAGCAGTGGTCTTAACCTTCCTGATAGAATTTGTCGTTGGGAAGCTTTCAAGAGAAAGAAATAAGGGCTGACTGTGCCGTTTTTCTTTGAACTGTGGTAAACCAAAAACCAAACCCATAGCTGCCAAGTCGAATCCACCTTATAGCATCCCTATAGGGCAGGGTAAAACTAGAAACCCCATAAGGTATAATCTTTATGAATGCAGACTGTTGCATCTTGCTTGCTCTTGGTAAGTGACTTCCTGAGTTGAACTGCCAAGCACTTAACCACTGTGACATACAGCCTAGAGTTGTGCTATGGCCCCTAAAAATGTCCTGTTACTGTTAGTAAATCATTATACTGATCTAGCCATTTCACCTAATATATTCAAGAAGTGTGTTACAATATTTGTAGCCATTATTTTAGTGCATGCCACGGCTCTAGAGGTGCTAGTCAGTATAGTTAGGCAAGAAAAAGAAAGAACACACACATACACACACATCTTGATTGGAAAGGAAGAAGTAAAACTGTTCATAAAGGATAAGTGTAGAAAATCCAGTGGGATCTACCAAAAGGTACTAGAATTAATAACTGTATCAATTGAATTTAGTAAGGGTACAGGATATAGGATCAATTTAAAAAATCACATATGTAGATCTATATATGCAATGAACAATTAGAAATGGAAATTTAAAAATACCATTTAAAATAGGATCAAAAAATATGAAATGCTTAGGAATAAATGTGATGAAGCAAATGCAAGATCTGTTTAACTGAAACTGCAGTGTATTACTGAGGATTATATTAAAGGATTCCTAAAAAAATGAAGATATAGGTCATATTTTTGGGTTGGAAAACACAATATTGTTAACACTTTCATTCTAGCCAGAATTGTCTGCATATTGAGTGCAGTCCTAATCAAAATCTCAGTAGGATTTTGAATAGAAATTGGTAAGCTGATTCTAAAATTCATATGGAAATGTAAAGGACCTAGAATAGTCAAAACAAATTGAAGAAGAACAGCAAAGTTATGGAACTAACACTACCTGATTTCAACACTTATAAAACCATAGTATTTAAAGGCAGTAAGGAATTGGCATCTTATTTGGCCTTATTTTCTAATGATGGACATAGCACTGGAAACATCCTTAGAGAAATAATTTGGACTTCAATTTTAAGTTTTCCATTAAAAACTTCTGTTATTTAAGAATGAAAAGACAAACCACAGTCTGAGACAAAATATCTGTAAATGGCTTGTATGTAGCATATATAAAGAACTTTCAAAATTCAGTAAGTAAGGAAACAAAGAACCCAGTAAAAGTGTGGAAAACATTTGAACAGATAGTTCATCACAGAAGGTAATGTGGGTGGCAAGTAAGTACATGAAAACAAAGCTCAACATAATTAGTCAACAGGGAAATGTGAATTAAATAAGATAAAAATAATGTGAAATAAATAATACTGCATATCTATTGTTGTTGTTGTTGTTATGTGCCGTCGAGTCAAACCCGACTCATAGCGACCCCTCCTTGGGTTTCCGAGGCAGTATCACTACGGAAGTAGGATTGCCCAACCTTCCTTCCGAGGAGTGGCTGTCATATCTATTAGAATGGTTAACATTAATAATTAGAATGGTTAAAATAAATAATGATGTATCAAGTGTTAGCAAGGATGTGGAGAAACTGGAGTTCTGATACACTGCTGGTGGGAATATGAAATAGTATAACCATTTTGGAAAAAGAGTTGGCATTTTCTTAAAAAGTTAAGCATGTACCTGCCACATGATCCAGCTATTTCACTACTAGTTATTTACCCAAGAGAAATAAAAATGTGTGTCCATGTAAAGACTTGTATACCAGTATTCATAACAGCTATATTTGTAATAGCCAAAAAGTGAAAACGAACCAGAGGTGTATCAACAGGTGAATGTATAAACCAATTGTGGTATATCCATTCATACCATGTAGATATGTACAGTAGGTACGCCACAAGAAAAAAAAGAATGAACTGCTGATACCCTCAGTAACATAAGATGAAATGAAGTAATTATGCTGAATGAAAGAAGACATATTAAAAAAAACAATTTCTGTATGATTCCATTTGTACAAAATTCTAGAAAATGCAAACTAATCACTTGTAACAGAAAGACTAGTGATTGCTTGGAGTTGAGGACCAGGAGGAAAAGGAGAAGCAGGACAGAGGGATTTCTGTAAAGGGACACAAAGAAACTTTTGGAAGTGATTGAATATTTTCAGTACCTTTGTTGTAGCAGTAGTTTCATGGAGGTGTGTTTGTGTGTGTGTCAAAACTTACCAAGTTGTATACTTTAAATATATGCAGTTATTTAAAAAAGCAATTATGTAGTCAGTTAAAACTAGCCCCTGAGGTTACTTTCTAGGTAAGTAACAAGATGGCTGAAAAAATAATGAGTACCACTCATAACTACTGTGCTCCTTTAAAAAATCGTGTATATGAGGCCAAACAGTCAACAGTTACTCTAAAATATGAGCATGTAGAGGGGCAGAGAAACTTGCTTAATGGAAATGGAACAACCAAAGCAGAAAGAATGTTCACATGTTGTGAAGAATGTAACCAATGTCAGCAAACAACGTGGGCAGAAATTGTTGAATGGGAACTTAAACTGCTGTGTCAGTCTTCCATCACAAGCACAATAGAATATTACTTTAAAAAGAAAGAAAAAGTGCATGCTCTGCTCTCTCATAGCCTGGATAAAGTGTGGACAGTAACAGGACTCAAATGGTTGCTGTGGAGATTGTGTATTTTAATCCTTTTGGGACCTATGGGACATATAGTGCCCCCCACCTCTTGTGTTTAGTGGGAAGCTTCTGTGCCACTTTTAGTTCATGCTGCATCTGATAGGGGTCTGTGTAACTTCATGAATCTGAAGAAGCGGGCCTCATCCTACCAGACCCAGCACCAGAGACACCATTGAACACATATGTCCAACTAATTGTATGAGCATCCATATTATCTAAAAAATACTTTCATTTCATCCAAAATGCCTTCAATTTCTTATATCACATGGTTTCAACCAAAAATTCAAAGCAGAAAACAATTCAGTCTTAAAAGGATTATTACATGTAAAGAGATTAGATCATGGCACTATTCACTATTTTTTGTGACTATATTTTTTTTGTCTCCTACTAAGTCATAAACTCCCAACAGGCACAGTGAACAAAGCACTGTGTCTCTGCTATCATATTGTCCAGTTTGAAACTTGGCATAGATATTTGTACAGTCCTGAAGCTATTACATAAAAAGTATAAAAGGTTTTTGAGGAATGTTTAAATTGATACTTAAGTAACAGAATTAGCATCCTTCAAACACGTACAGCCGATAAATATTTTTAAAAGAGTTGAAGAATTTTACACACAGAAACTTCTGGACTGATTTGTAAATTATGATATGTCTTTAGAGTTATCTGGGAAATATTTAAAGTGTCGCATTGTGTTAAAAGGTATATACTGTTTTGATTTTTATCTGTTATACACAGGCACAAATATTAGTATGTAGCATACATATTTCCCAAAAATTCTAATGGAGCTATCACCCTCGTTTCTTTAACTTACTTAGAATCCAGTTAAGTCTTGGGAAAATCACTTATGTCATCACTCAAGAATGTCACCAAAATAGCTTCTCACTTAAGTTCCCATCCCCAGAGCTAACCCACAGGAGGTTCTGATAAATTCAAATATTTAATAACTTGTATTTTTCTTTCTCCTCAAACACAGGCACTCTGGTCCTGGAGGCAGGATCATGTGGTGGATTCTTGGCAGTCAGCAGTGTGTGGAGCTTTTGCAGGTGCAAAGGATTATATTATACTGGGAAAGACCAAAGGGGGAAAGAAAAATGTGAGAATATTAACTATGCAAAACTAACATTCTTCAGCAATTCCAGATTGTTTAGATGAAGACAGCTCCACTGGTTGTTTGAGAAAAGAAACTGTCTTGAAGGAGTAGGGGGTGTGAAGGGGAAAAAAAAAAAAAAAGCCTCCTAGAAAGGTGTCTGCTTGAAAGACAACCAATTTGTTTTTGACAAATTTTTTTTTTTCTTTTTCTTTTCATCTTTATTAAAGCCTTCACTCAGGTCCTTGGATTGTCTTAAAGATGATATTTGAACTTTTCTATGGGAAGAAGCTTGCTGTGGGTGCAGGGCTAAGTGTGCAGCTGTCTGCCCGGAGCAGTGCTTCAAGGTGTTGAGCAATATCTGCAGGAGGCAGTGATTCACAGTTCATGGGACATGCTTGACAGTTCTGTAGATTAACTAGTGTCAGGAGAGTAGAGGATACTCTGCAACTCACTGAAGGCTAACACACCCTATGTGGAATGTATGGTGGCCATTTCAACATCTGAGCTTTTTCTAGACATCAGACCCAGAGCAAAGTGACAGTATGCGATATTGTGTTATCCGTCACTCGGCCAGCCATGTGAATTTTCCAGTGAGGTGTTAATGAGAACCCATATGCTTTAAAGAATTTATTAAGTGATAGGTTTAATAGCCTAAGAGAGAAATATATTTTGTTATTGCAAATAAAGGTAAATTAGCATTACAGTTGAAATAAAATGAAATGGAAATTTGCCGGGAAATTGTAAACTGCTAGTTTTAGAGGTTAAGTCAGTAAATTGACAGATATGTAGGCTTAGGCTGTCAACTTTATTGGAAAATAATTCTTTTCTGTTTTATTTGTGGCTGTTGGTTTGGGGTTTTTGTTGTAGCTACTAGGAAATTGGAAAACATATATTTAATAGGATTCTTTATTATTAATTGGAACTGTTTGACTTGTGGAATTGATCATCAAAAATAAGCTTGCCTCTAGACATGAGGCCAACCCAGACTGATGATGACGGATAATTGTTTCCACATGACACACAGTCATTAGCTATGTTAAATGAGTAGGTGGTCTTGATTCATTTTCCAGGGGTCAGGGTTATTATCCCCCGGCACCTAAGAGAAATGTGTGTTTCTGTTGACTGCCTCTTGGGCCCTGGGGAGAAAGTGAGCATTATGGAAATTTAATCATCCTGGATAAGGAAAGCCATGTCTCCAAGTGCATAATACCATAAGACTTCCACATGTTGAAATAAGAAGAGTATTTCCTCAGTCCTATTCCTTAAGAAGCTAATTCAAAGAATTGCTTGCAAATACAGTATTTACTATTAAGAACATTAGCGTTCATCACAGTTCCTTTTTCTGAGTAATGCTGTATACTAAGCACTAGTTTAGACAGAAAGGGGGTGAAGGAATAAACTTTTTATGAGGCAGCTCCCAAATGGTAGGCAAGATGCCTTCCATGCCCTCTCACTTAAGGTAGCCACTGATGAGGGCTGCCACTTGTTCCCTGTGGCCTCATGACAAAGTTGTCAAACCTTTTGTTCTGCTTCCAACTAAGGAATGAGGAAACCTTCCGGAGCACTAGTTTCCTTACTTGTGTTATAGAAGCAGTCCTCCTGCTGTAAGGGATTGCATCGGGGAGTCAATGAGACATGGATATGCTAGTATTTGGTGATGTGTAAAATTAGACAGATGTAGGGAATGATTACCAGTTCCATAAAATCATCTGACATCCAGAAAATGAAATTTGATTATCATCCTAATAATTCCTGTTATCAATAGCAAAAGATAATATATTAATAACATTACTGTATATAGTCTTCTCTTCTGATGCAGTCATCTTGGTTTTTTCAGCTGAGGTTGTGATAAGTGAAAGAGTTTTTCCAAGGTCTGAAAAAGTTCCCTTACTTGTCAGTAGATCCACATATATTTAGTAACAGATAAAATAAGAGTATTTTTTTGTTTATATCCTTTTTGTTTTGAAATTTTATTTGGTACAAATGTTGATTCAGAGGAACATAGTTACTATTTTAAAATCTTTTTGAAGGATAAACATCATTTGAACATATTCTAAATTGTGAAAAGGCATTATTCTGTAAGAGTCTGTTGCAATAGTGTGTGTTACACAGTGTAGAGAAGTTACTAAGGGCTGGCCATCTCGGACGGTCCCTTTCAGACCTGATGTGCTTATGTGATACACTTTTAGGCTCTTGTGGCCCTGAGATGTCCATAAAGGCAGCAATGAAACTTAGCCTTAAAGCAGAAATTAGATTTCTCACCCATATGTGCTTTCCCAAGTTTCAGTTGGTTGGCTCACTGCAGATGACCATTCTTTGCCATCCTTGGCAGTCTCCCTTGCCCATGCTTGTTCCGTAAACTGCTTGGCATGTGTATCTAAAAATGTCTCTTGAGATTGGAGGTGTTGATGGCTTGTTATGCTCAGAAATTCCCTTGGCTTCTGGTCAGGGGTTTAAACTAGGAGAAATAAAAAGACTTGGTCAACTTTGTTACTGAAAATTAATTTCTAAACATAAGACCATAATGCAATCTAAATAACTGTGATATATACTACTGTTAGGATATGTGCTACCCTTCTGGTGTTTCATTTCTCATAATAAACACCTGCTTACATTCCCTCAGAGAGAATAGGAGAGATCTCTCCATGGCTGAAGTTCTACAATAGGGTGAAAAGGGATATTTGGCTAACAAATGAGAAGACTGGACACTGTCTTTAAAACACATACACATTTTTTGTTGTTGTTTGTTTTAAGCTCTCCACATCTGGATCTTTGTTTAGAGATCATGCAAAAGAGGTGCATGAAGATGCTTCTGTCCCTCCTAGACTATCAAGGGAGAGCAGGCCCTGGGGAGCCACGAATAGCAGCACAGTCCCCAGAGTTGGGCTCAGCATCCCCACCCCATTCCCGGCTGCTTCCTGGAGGTGATGGCTCCAGGCCTGTATTTGTATAAAGTGATAAAGACACCATTTGTTCCCCCAAAGATACCTGAGATGTAGTTTCTTCGTAAAGTTTACTTTCCCCTGAACATCAAGCTCAATTGGCATAACATACTACACAAAAACATTGTTGCACATCCTACTTTGGCGAGTAGCAACTGGGACCTTAAAAGCTTGCAAGTGGCCATGTAGATGCAACAATGGGTCTCTCTTCTTCCAGAGCATAGAAGATTGAAGAAAACCAAAGAGTCATGGAAACAATTAGTGTAAGGGACTGGTACACCATGTGATCCCCCTCCCCCGCCCCGACTACCACTGTCAACCACTTGGAGGGGGATCTGTGTAGGAGATCCTGGATAGAGTGGGAGAACAATGTGGAACAAAACTCAAAATCTTTAAAAAAAAAAAAAGACCAGGTTTGCTGGTCTGATAGAGCCTGGTGAGACCCCTGAGACTATGGCCCCTAGCTGCCCTTCAGGTCTGGAATTGAACCCACTCCTGTGGCTTCCAGTCAAACAAGAGACAGGCCTATAAGCTGGACATTTACATTAGGTAGATACATTCCTTGGAGAAGTCAGTCATGGCAGAATAGAAGGGCAGTGTATATACAGGAAATAACTATGGGAAGGAAGTGGGAGGTGAGCTGTTCCATTGTGGGAAATTGCAGTCAGTGTCATGAGACAAAATGTGTATGAACTGCTATATAGAACATCAATTGGCTCTGTAAACTTTTACCCAAATCACAATTAAAAAAAAATAAAAATTATTTAATTTCCCCTGAATCTAGTCCTTGAAAGCAAACAGCCTGACATTCAGTACAAACTTCACTCTAGTGGAGACCCTAGGAAATTGTTCCACATGTGTCTTGGACAGTAAGGAAGCCTACTGTTGCTGTTCAAATAATTATTTCCTGTCTCAGGTGTTACTGTGTACCTTATATTTATTATTAGTACTTTACAGTCCCCTTAGGTAAAATATGGAAAATTAACTACATTTTAACTGAAGTTAATCTTCTCATCCTGTTATCATCAGTTATTCTATTACATTATCTTCACAAGTCTTTCTTGGAGCTTTATTAAAAAACATGATGAAGTTTTGAATTAATCTTTTATATTTATTAAAATAGATTTATTAATAACTTACATAAAGCATAGTTTCCATTATAGTAGTAAAATTAGGACCTATTCCAGTCAATATGTGTTTGTCTTTAACTTTTCTTCTTCTACTTTAAGGAAACAGATGGGCAGATGGTTGATCATCATAAATCTCTAAGAGAATATAGGCGGTTGTCTCAGAGTGAAGGAAACAAATGTTTGCTGTAGCCAAAATAAGTTTGATTTGCAGTATTGAAACTTATTAGAAGACAAATAATTTTCAATATATATAACTCATAAATGTTTGAATGATCATGCACAGGACAAATGACCTTGCTTGTCAACCTTTAGGACTTTTCAGTTGCTTTAGGACACTTTGTGAATGTTTTCAAATAGGGAAATGGCATATATACTTCTGAGTCTTATCATTCATATCCAAGCTAGTAGGTAGTGGAAAGACCACTACTTTGGGAGCCAAGAGAGTGTTGCCTCCATAAGAGCATTGTGGTCCTACGCAAATTAGTTGGCTGTGAAGCAGGAATAGTAAAAACTTATGCAAGTGAGATGGAATACTGAAGGTGAGTGATAGTACAGTGCTGGCGTGCCAGACACAAAGGAAAAAACCAAACCGAATGCACTGCCATCGAGTCAGATCCGACTCATAGCGACCCCTTCTTGGGTTTCTGAGGCAGTATCTCTATGGAAGTAGATTGCCCAACCTTCCTTCCGAGGAGTAGCTGGTGGGTTTGAACCACCAGCCTTCTGGTTCCAGTCAAACACCTTAGGCACTACGCCACCAGACTGACTCCCTACGCAAAGGAAGCATACCACAAATATCAGTTCTCCTCCCTCCCATTTAGAGGACAAGTTGAAATCTTCAGTTTGTAAAAAGCCTAGACACTTGTTCATGGTGCCATTAAGCATGTTCGAGGGCCTGCTGTGTATGCTGAGCTAGTGATAGGAAGAAAACTCACACATCCCTGCCCACCCAGGAAAGAGTTAATTACTCATTGGGCACTGTGAGCCAGGTTTGTTCTGGATATTTTGCAGAGACTTACTTAATCCTCTTGTAGGGAGTAGGTAGGTATTACTATCTGTACTTTTCCAGGCGAGAAAAACAAGGTCAGTAGGAGGCGCCAGCAGTTAAACTGAGGTTCTGGAGTCAGACAGACTTAATAGTCCCAGCTCTGCGTTAAGTCCAACCTTTTATGAGATTACTTCTGAGCTTCAGTTTCTCTACCTGTAAAATGGGATAATGGAAGTGCCTGTTCTCAAAGGGTCCTTTAACTAGAGACTAAGAAATTAACCCATGGCAGTCAAGGAGCAGAGCAGAGATTAAAGCTTTGGTTTTTCTGACTCAAAGGAGGGTTCTTTCTAGCTGCTAGACCTCAAAGCCAGTAAGGGAAACAAAACCAAATACAGTATTTGAGGTGGGACATTCTGGGATTGTGTGGCTTTGTTGCCTGACTTCCTCTTCCTTCACTCCCTCCCTCCCTTTGTGTTTTCTATGAACCGTTTGATAGACTTGAGGCCTTCTTGGACTCTCTTCTATAATGAAAAATACGTTACTACTCAAAGGCAGAATCTATGGTTAAAAAAAGTAACAGGATTTCAGGAGTGCACCCATAGAATTTTTAAACACTTGAAATTTAGCAAGTCTCTGAATTCCAGGCAGCTTTTGAATTTGAACTAAAACAAAGGGAACTGTAATGTTCTTATTTACTAACACTCATATTTACGAATGCTCGTTACGATTGTGTCACTTGTGGTAACCCAAATGGAACATAAAGGCATAAATAGGTATATCTCTTAAAAACTCAGGGTCATCACAAATGTTACCAAGTGGAGGAGGTTCCGTGCATGGTCTTAATGTTCATAATATATTTAGAAAGGTATTTGGCAGAGATTAAGTGACCTTCGTGTCCACACGCCACACAACTTACACGGATAGAAGTGCTATTTTGGGAGCATCCCTGTCACACACATGTTTTGTTCAGTCCATATACAACTGCCTGTTTCAGCCTAGCTTATACAAGCTGAATTTTTAGAAAGTCCTTTTGGGTTTTTTTATTTCTGACCATCTCTGATTTATTTACTTGAGGCCTCTTGGGGTTTAAACTGTGTGTCTCTACCATATTAAATAGAATATTGACACCATAAACTGGTTTCTGTTTTAAAGGAAGGTGGGGAAGTCCTCCCATTTCTCTGTCTACAGATGTGGACAGCTTTAAATTGCGTGGACAGTTTGACAATCACGTATTTAAATAGCAGAAAGGAGAAGAGAAGGGAGGAAGGCAGCCAGAAGAAGAACAAGAGTGCCTCTGGGAGGATGCAGAAGGGAGCTTAGAAATGCACTTACTTGCACTGGGCGCTTGTCAGGAAGCCTGTGAAACACGGACAGCTTTACTCTTGTAAATGTTTATTAACCGGAAGAATCCACGTGTTACACCAAAAATCCCCACGTGGCTACACGTTTCTATTTGTCCATTTTGTCATATGCAGAGACGATAGAGGCACGTGGAGTCAGTTTAAAGAATGGTAGCCTGTGGGCAGGCCCAGACCCTCTGAGTCAGGAGGTTCCTCATGCCGAGGGTGAGGCTCTGCCCACGGGCACACACGCTGTATGTCCACTCTCGGGTCCCGCTGCTGGCGTATGAAAGAGCAGGGTGTATTGAGGAGCCTCACTTTTTAACCTGTGTGTTTAAAGCAGCACCTGGCCACCCCTTTTCATAAGAATTCTGAGTCACTGCATGAGAACTGAAGCATGTGGATAAAGATTTTGCATGTGTGCAGCCCATTCTTGAATTAGTCAAGTGGACAGTCAGAAAGAAGTGATTTTGGCAGTTGTAAGGAATTATAAAACTTGTAAAATCAGCATATATTCACTAAGCAGTATCTCCCTTGTGTTTGGCGTGTTTTTATGTGCATAGGTGGATTTGCAGCTGTAGTCACCACACCTCTGGATGTAGCAAAGACAAGAATTATGTTGGCAAAGGTGAGTGGTAAAATAATGTAATGTTGATAATGTAATATTACTGTACCTATTAGTGCTAGAACTTATGGATATAAAGTGAATAAAAGCAGCATAGCACTTTCCTAAAACAGTGGTAGTTTTATGCCAGTATTCTCAGAGGAGCCCCGTTAAATTGGTGAAGCTGACGGTGACACAACACTCACAGAAGTTGCTGTGGCCAATGTCATTTTAGCACTTTACATTTCAGGATCACTTTTTACCATCATTATGTAAGCAGATGGGGCTGTTAAGACCAGTGTAGGTCATACTGTGTTTAAATCATCTCTTCCTGTGATGACAGGCCCAGAGCTCAGGGAGGTTGACTTCATGCCATGCTGCAGGTCAGCTGTGGGCCCTGAACTTGGGTCAAGCTTGGGCTTAACTGGGTGAGTTAGGATAGCTATCAGAATTGTTAAAAAGTTTTGTACAAAAACAAAAGTTTTTTTATTTTTTTAAGTGTTAGATGAAGAGATCAGGGTATTAGCATATGTAATGTATATCTGGAACAAAACAACGAACAATAAAGTCAGATCCTGTAGAAAGGGGAACAAATATGGGTAGAATTCTAGTACTTGGGTTGGCAGGACCAGACCTAAGAATGTCAGTCATGTTTTAAATTAAACATGGCATTCTTTGTTAATCATGTTTATGTGCTACTGAAATAAATTTTATAATTCTATCATTTGCACTAAATATTCCCCCTCCTTCATAGATGAGTATTTTTTCAGTATTTTTCCTGTTAAATAGTTAGTTGAACAGACATAATCAGGGCACTTTTTGCTGATGGTTTGATTATAAGGGAAGTAACCCAGAAAGGTATCTTCTGGTGCAGCATGGTCCAAATCAGTGTTCACCTGTGACTGTGGAATGGAAATGCTTCTGGGCTGAGCTGGATGCAAAGGAAACACTCCCGTCTATTTGAGATTGTGACCTAGGGGCGGGTGGGAGCAAGCCATGTACCTGAGGATATTTGAGAGAGAGCTGTAATTGTTTGGGGTGGCGGGGGAGGGGTTTCATAAGATAATGGACTTCACCTTTGTCTTTTCCTTCAGGTGGGTTCCAGCACTGCCAGTGGGAATGTACTCTCTACCCTGCATGAGGTCTGGCGGACACAGGGGCTGGCAGGGTAAGGAGCAGAGGAATGGCCAACTACCTTCCCACACTCCCCACCCCCACCCCCTGCACCTCTTCCTCCACTTCTCCCTCCTTCTTCTGCAGTCCTTTAGCCTCAGTGAGATTGGATGAACACCTTTCTAGTTGTTGTCAGGTGCTGTCAAGTCACTTTTGACCACTAGTGACACCATGGGAGAGTAGAACTGTCCCATGGGGTTTCTTTATGGAAGCAGACTTCTTCGTCTTTCTCCTGCGGTTCCTGCCACTTAACCTCTATGCCACCAGGGCTCCTTTTGTCCTAGTTAGGGATCTTTTTGTATTTTTATGATACAATTACTCGTACTGTTAAAATGTTACAGTTGATGTTGTATATATGGGATGATACTGTACAATCCAGTTGATGCATTGTTCTATCCCGGTGATTTCTCAGCGTGGTTCATCTTGATATTAGAGGGCATTCATGTGCGTGGCCCCACCAGGTGATGAGCTACAGCTTTAATAAAATAGGTTTCAATTTACATGATGCAGGCATGCCAAATGAGTGAGGGTAACAGTGTTAGAGAAGACACTGGTGGTTTGGGTGTTTCAACTATTACTAGTAACAAACTATATCCAGTCTACCACAGTGCACAGTGCATGGCACTGTGGCCGAGAACCAGTTAATTAGGAAGTGCCTCAGACTTGCAGCACTGTGGAAAGAGTGCTCGGTCAGGAGAGGGCTCAGTGGTGGGGCTGCCATCGTGAAGAGCAGTGCTGCGACAGCATCCCTCCCACCCCTGGTTTTTAGGCCTCTTAGGATGATGCTGCTGCTGCTTCGTTGCAGTGCTGTGGGGGATCATGTAGTTTTGGGGTGCATTTGGCAGGTTTTAATTTAAGGTATTTGATGGTCTGGGGAACATGAAGTAGGTAGGCTAGGCTTCAGTTAAAGTCCTTGCAGGAGAGCGGCCTCATCCCCTCTCCAATATTTCCAACTAAAAGTTTGAAAAGTAGTTAACAATGGGGTGATTCTGTTGTATGTGACAACTCTGGTGGATTGGTGGTGGCTGCCTGAAGGACTTAAGAATCTGGAGATGGAAACTGGGTTTCACAGTAAGCAAATGGCAATTAATTATTGCGGTCCAGCGTGCACATGGGGTGGGTATTGTGTTATGTATTACCAGGAGACTGCCATCTGTGCCTAAAGCATTGTGAGGGAACACAAATCTGTTTGTGTGTATCTGAGGGACATGCATTGTGGCACCACTTCTACATTTAACAAAGAAATGGTAATGGAGAATGGAGCTTGAAAGCAGCTTATTCATTGGCAGGTAGAAGATGCTTAAGTGATGTCAGTAGTGACGGGGCCACACACACAGAGCTTAACAAGCTGAAGTGCTGAATTTCACCATCTTTTTCCGTATATTTCACGTTGGATTCTCTGGCAGCTATTGACCAGCTCCTCAGTCACTGCCCTGACCTCTGTGGAGACTGACATTCTTGAGAAAGTGATTATATATGAGGATGGCAAAGGTATGGCCACTCAAAGCTTATAGAAATGAAGGACATTTCTTGAATACATGACTGACAATAGATCTTGCCTGTGCCAGTTGTGCCACCATTAGACAAGAGCAGGGGCTTCATCAATATGCCAACAGCTTTTGTCTTTCCTCTGTCCCCACTGCTAGCCCCGAGAAGGTAATTTGGATGTTTCGTATGTTCTCAAAATCTTAACTATTGGGCCATTGTCCCTATGCACAGTGTAATCCTTAGTAGAGTATTCCAGGTAGAAATGGTTTTCCCTTAATTCAAATAGGACTTCCAACTTAGTTTTATCATGAACTTCCTCAGTAACATGATAAAAGACAACTAATTTGCCTCCCCCACCCCCACCCCCAAAAAAATAACAAAACCAAAAATAGCGCTCCAACCGTGGGCAGCTGTTCTGAACAATGAGTGGTCCTGGGTACCCTCAGCCCTGACAACGTGTCTCAGGCCTGCTTCCACTGTGGTTCCCATGCACCAAGCCAACGCTGTCTGCTTCCTGGCCCTGCACACACAATGTCAGTACACTTAAGTTGTAGAGGTCCCCACCCCATGAGCTGCCTGCCTTACCCTGGAATAGTGCTAACCTCTCAAGGTAAATGAAAGTGCTAACTGCATTCATAGCTCCAGGTGGATCCACACAGGGGAAGACTGCTCTTGTGCATGTATTCGGAAGATCTGCTTGAGGGCAGATTGGTTTCTCCTAAATCAAAGTGCTACCCTGTCATTCAGCGCAGTAGGTGGAAAGCAGATGGGATGCCTGCTTGTCCCTATTGCTCCTTCCTGCTCTTCTTCTCTTATAGTTAATTGACTGTTTTTTGTTTGTTTGTTTTTCTTGGCTGTGTCCTTTTATATAACTGTGCCATGAACAGTTTGCTAAATGCTGTACATTAGTTATCACGTTTGACCTGTAGTTGCTAGAACACAGCTCTGTTTCACTCATCTGTCGTCTTTGCCCACAGTTTGGTTGCGGTGCTTACTGCACAAATTACTTTAAGGCTGTAATTACGGTAATAGATTCAATTGTCATGTAGTGAAACCATAAACTGCTTCCATGTGTCCCTTGCCTGGGAGCAGCAGCTGGGCTCAGGAGCAGCAAAAGCTGAACAAGACACTGGCTTTGAGAAATCAGATCGTATGAGAGGGAGAAGTCTCTCACAAACATGGCCTTGTGCAGCCTGGTTTTTGCTCACCTCTTTTCCTACCCCTTCTCTTTGTAGGATGGGACTGTAAGATTCATCTGTTTTTCAGGCCAGAGGGAAACGGTAGCCTCAAAGTAGTTTCTGGTCCAACCAACCACCTCATAAAAAACAATTTGCATGACACTGAGCTGAACTATTTTTTTCCCCCCATTACCAGATAAATGCACTTTGGTCTTTTACAGAATTTTTACAGTCATCTCTACACAAGAAAAAGAGGTTTTAAAGTATACATAGATTGTCTTTAAATTCTGCTCAGCTTGGTGCTGGCGAGTCATTTCTGACTTGTAGGGACTCCTTCTTGGGTTTCCGAGGCACTATCACTATGGAAGTAGATTGCCTGTTCCTTCCGAGGAGTAGCTGGTGGGTTTGAACCCCCCAGCCTTCTGGTTAGCAGTCAAATGCCTTAGGCACTGTGCTATCAGAGCTCTTGCTAGCCAGGTAAAATGGGTCCTGCGAAACCACTGTCAGGTCACAGTCATCTCAGGCCGCTGCATGCTGACATACAAAGGGGCGACAGGTTACCTCTCCCAGCATTCACAGGGAAAGGAAGCGGCCAGGGCAGCTGTGAGGGCTCCAGCATGGATTTCCTTCCTGGCCACTGTTTTGGGAAGACATTATTTAGCTGACTGTGGGTTTTTTCCCCATACCATAATTATATACACAGCTGCTATTGCCATAACTTGACTACTTCTAGTTTTTCCCCTCTGGACTAGAATTGAAGTCTTTTCCCTAGTCTAGCCAGTAGTTCTGATTTTTTAAGTTTAGCTTTCTGCTTACAAAAGTGATACTGATGGTGAAGTCCAAATGTTAAGGATTATGTTCTGGTGTAACTCATCCCTCCCATGGTTTTCAAACATGCAATTCATATTGTAGATCCAACTTCAGGACTTGACTGAGTAAGACCTGGTTCAGGTATTTTCTATGCCAGTATCTATAGACTACTTCATTCTTCTTTTATGCTCCCACTGTGATCATCCTGTTGTGTAATTTACTTAACTGTATGTGGGTTGTTGGCAGTTTTTCTGTTATCAACATGAACATCCTTGAACAAATTTGGTGTAGAGTTGGTTCTGCCTAGGCTCCATAAAAAGTTATGAGAGGTTTTTTTTTTTTTAGAATTCCCAGTTTACATCCCTAGTAACATGGGTATGTATGGCTGTTCTGGTTATCTTGTACCACTCTGACAAGAATATACCACAAGTGGGATGGCTTGAACAAACAGGAGTTTTATTCTTACAGTTTGGCGGCTTTAAGTCCAAGTTCAAAGTGCCAAGCTCTAGGGGCTGGTTGAAAGCCCCTCAGCCTTGGTTTTCAGCTATGCCTACAACTACCAGCCCACTGAAGCTGGAGGCTTTTCTTCACTCAGACAGCTGCTGGCTGCTGAGGCTGCCGAGCCCAAGGGTGACAAGTAAAAGGCACAATCCCAATGTTAGCAACCCACACAGCAGGCCATTAATTTAAGTCCATTTAAGTCCCGAGGTCGGCAGAGCATGGCAGGTTGCTGAACAATGACACGGCTACATGCAGGGTCCAAGCATGCCATAAGCTAGAGAGCGTTCCCAGAGCTACTGCTTGTATACGGGAAGCAGACCACATACCAAAAGGCAGCTACTCAGCTGCTCCCAGTAGATTCCACCATGGAATTGATTACCAGTCTCATCATGGGGTATCCAGCTGCCCAGCCACTCAACCAGGCCCAGCCAAGTTGACATACAAACTGAACTATGACAAAGGCTCACCCTTTCATCTTTAGCATCTTTAACACTGAACGGCTTGAAATTTCGTTGTTCTTTTTATTTCCCGTTTCTTTAATTATTACAAAGTTGTCACTTAAACGCTGCCTGGCCTTGTGTGGGGATGTGCATGACGCCTGCCTGGAAGCGGCTCTCTTCCCAGCTGTAGCCCATTTGCTGTTCCTATCCTTAATTAAAGGAAAAGAAAATGGAATCCACTGAGACTTGATTCCCTATTGTGGCATTACATTGGTGGGTCTCTAAGGAAACTGACAGAGTCACAGGGAGGAGCAGCAGGGTGGTCTAAGAAATCTCCTCTGCCCAGGACCACCACCAGAGACCACCAGATGGGAAGAGCCCTGCCACTTGCCTTAGTAGCTTTTTGACTCCTTTTTTAAAAAAATTTCATCATCTCTAAAATGGGAATAATGTTTTACAGGGTTGCTCTGGAAAAAAAATGGGCTGGAAGATTTAAAAGAACTATTGTTGGGAGAGTAGTTACTTAATTGTGAGTCCTCACAAGTAAGCTGTTTGGTATTTAGGCACTTTAGCCAACAAACAGCTGGGCTCCAACTTCAACCAGCCTACTTGGGAATATAATTTAGGGCCATTCTAAATAGAAAAGAAAAACACATTTTAAATGCTGTGAGGGGTTTAATGAGCACGGTGTGTTGAGTTGAACAAGCTATGGTATTGGAATTTGTTAAACTTTTTTTTACACAAATTTTGAAGATCTTTCCTTGCTCCTTTTTCCTAGATTATTTGCAGGTGTCTTCCCTAGAATGACAGCTATCAGTCTGGGAGGTTTCATCTTTCTTGGTGCTTATGACCAAACTCGCAGCCTGCTATTGGAACTGGGCAGAGGAAGCTAATGAATCGGACACAACCTTGCATCCACTTTTTTCAAGAAAGGAGACTGCTGTGAGAACTGCCTCCTTTCCAGTGAGCAGCTGTCTGGCCATTTGAGCAAAACACAGTGCTAAAATGCCATTCTGCTAAGAGTTACGACACTGACAGTGTGTCCTCCATGGTACAAGCTGGCTGGCATGAAGTCATCAGCTTGTGTGCCAAAAAATTAGAAAAGAGGGAAAACCAATTATGTCTCTGGCAGTATCTGAACTGTTTCCTCAGGACTCCTTAATAAACAAGGTTGGTAATGGTGAGGCCAGGCCCTTTAGAGCTTTTATTTGATCTGCATCTGATATTTCACTTCCTGCCACCTGACAGTGTAGGCAGCAATGCTTATTTTTTTAAAAAGTGGTGAGATTGGAAAAAGAGAGACTAGGGAGGGGTAGTGTGTGTGTTTTCCCTCTTCCCTCTGTTAATTCCTATTGTATAAGCTTACACCTTTTGTTTAAAAAGAACAAACTACAAGTGAACAGGAAGCATTCTTTCTGGGTAACCTGGCTGCTGTTTTTAATCACCCTCAGGTTTTACCTGAAAATATGATACACAATTGTATTTTATAGAGATGTGTTCAGAAGCCCTAGTGGTGTGTGAAAGAAAGCAGCTGCAGGTCAAGTGACTAGATGGGCCCAACTGGGCAGGGCCAAGTGGGCTTCTCTGGGGATGCTGAACCCTCTACTCTGAAACGAAGGGCCTAGACAGTCTGGAAACTGTGACCTTAATTAATCTGAGAGATTTAATCTGAACCCTCTACTCTGAAACGAAGGGCCTAGACAGTCTGGAAACTGTGACCTTAATTAATCTGAGAGATTTAATCTGAGAGATCTGTGCCTGGATATTTACAATAACCGAAAATAAGTAGAGAAAAATTCAGAGGGAAAATGAGAGAAAGTGTGTAAACTCTTTGCTTAGCATGTGGTATGTTTATGCTGGTTTTTTTTTTTTTTTTTTTTAAGTATTTAATGGCAGCATGTGTGAGGAGGATGTGCTAGAAATCCAAGGGGATGAAACCCAAGGGGATGAAACAATACTGGTGTGTGTGTGTAGACGAGTGACCCCACACACTTCACGTAAATGAACCTTTATTAAAGACACTTCATTAAAGACACTTCAGTGCCATTTGTTAGATGCTTCAGTATTTTACATGTTTTTCAATGTACAAGGTACCAAAAATTTCTATAAATAAATAACTTTTTGTACATAAAAGTAATACTTCCTCTTTCACATTGCCTCTCAGAAGCAGCAAATTCACATATTTTGTGGAAGTAACATTGATCAGCTAAGTGTTGAGAAGAAAACAACTCTAGATGTGCTTATCTTTTGGACTAGTGATGACACTGCAAAGTAAAATTTAAAACAGGTAACCACTCTGTCAATACCAATACCTACCTTCAGCTTTTTGCCAAAGGAGCTTGCTTTCTGACATTTTAAGGACCTTGTTTGTTTCAGTATGATTTTTACCAAAAATTTCACATTGGTGTGCATAAGATGATGGTTAGCTGCAGGTCCTAAAAGTGCAAAAATACCCAGAACCCAGGTCAGGGGCTGACTGTGCAGTCTAAGCCCAATTCTGTCTGAGGGGGTGACATGGACAGGCCTGCTCTGGGTTCTCAGTAGAAAAATAAGCTAGCCCTGAAAAGGAAGAACTTTATCTTTCCCCCCTCCCCAAGACTAATGTAATAGTAATCATATTGGCAAAAGTAAAACCTCACTATTGAAAAATCCACAGGTTCCAACACCAGCAGCCTTTATCTTAATAGAAAGCCTCAAATAACAACCCAATGATACGGACAAGACCACATTTGCTTTCATCACAAAGTAAGCATCAAAGAAGGAAGAAAGGCAGTGCTTCATTGTTCTAATTTCTTGCTGTGGATTATCAGCCTCACTCTGCTTGTTAAAGAAGTGAAAACTGAAGTCATTCACTGCACAGGCAAATGACATATGCACCTCTGAGCTCAACGAGAAGGAGAAAGCACCCAGAGGTGAGCAATACTGATGGGAGGCTGCTTCCAACTCAGAGTTGCTCTGTGACTATAGAGCACCCTAGGGATCTGAGCCTATGCAGTGCAATACAAAACCAAGGACTTTGTATCCTTCCCACCCTAGCAACAACTATTAACTATTGGGAGCAAATGTGGTTTTAGCCTTTATAAATTCCACTCATGCATTAAGGCACCAGAACTAGCCAAACCTCCCCAAATTAAACAGCAACCTGATATGAAAAATGTACAATTTTTTACTGTTAACCATGCACTAAAGATCAAAATAGCCTCTGTAAAAGATATATAGGAAATCTCTGAAAACTCTTATGTACAACAGTATCAAATACGTCTTCTGTGCCTTTTGTACACAATAACCCCTTGCATTTCTGTGCTTCAGATGCAAGTCCTCTGAACTACTTACACTCCACATGGAAGTTAAACTATGTACAAATCAGTGACGCTTGAACCCAAGCTTCCTCACAGCCGCTCCTCCCTCTCTTGCCTGTATGAGATTGATATGACGAGAGCTGAGGTAGACAAAGCCTAGACATTCGGTGCAAACAGCAGTGGCACACTCCGTTTCCCAGTAAGCTGTCCTGTCAGTGGTGTGGACTCAGGAATGGAGTCAGGTGCCTCCGGAAGGTGGCCATTGGAAAGAAGCAAGTGCTGGGCTTCACTGGGGATGGCAGGAAAGCCTGAGGCAGTTTCTGTGAGCGCCGGACTGCCTGACATTAATGTAGATGAAGGCTGGAGGTCCAGGGAGCCTGGTTCACACAACCTTGCTGAAGTCCAAGAAGAACCTCCTGTAAGGCAAGAGAGGGCATATCAGACCCTTCCACTAGCCCTCACCACTAAGGTAGGTGGCAACCCAACTGCTAGGGATAAGCAAATAGTAACAAGCTACCATTTCCATCCAGAGGGGCCACTGGCTTTTTCTTCAAGGATGTCAGCATTCTGTCGTGGTTACTAGGGTAGAGAGAATCTCTGCCATCAACAGTCCCACTGCGTGGAGAATGTTCTCGGTCACACCAGGTGGGCTCCTGGCTGCTTGGGGTGCTTGGCCTTGCGCTGTCTCTGGACACAGGCTGCAAGGCTTGATCCGTGGAGTAACTCTCCCCATCAGTGCTGCAGTCACTGCAAACAAGTGGGCCACTGAGCTCTGGAGAACAAAGCCCAAGATGCATTAGAACCATCGCCACCGACACTTCTGTCCACACACCAAGAAGCTAGCTGCTACCTGCACTGCTGCAAGGTAAGAGTCCTGTTTACATCAACTATGTACATACCTTAGAGCACTGGTAGCATAATGCCTAAGGCACTTGACTGCTAACCAGAAGGTTGGAGGTTCAAACCCACCAGCCACTCCTTGGAAGGAAGGTTGGACAATCTACTTCCATAGTGAGACTGCCTCGGAAACCCAAGGAGGGATCACTATGAGTCTGGTCTGATTTGACAGCACATAACAACATGTACATACTTCCCTCATGCCATGCGTGCTCACGGAAAAGCACTAGAGTCAGCACCAAGCCACAAATGGGGACGTTCCTGGGTAAATGTTCCAGGATGACTCAGAGTATAGTCATATTAATGTTACTAGAGGAAAAAACAATCCCATTTTAATCAGGTCCCCTGAAGTGTCCACAGTCTTACAAACAATGAGTACCTTTTTACCAGGGCTATTTTGAGACAGTCACAGACCAGTAACAGCTCCCTTTTCATTAAGGGAGGAGGTCAATTTAAATTTTGAGTATTAGAGAAAAGTACTTTGTCTGAGGAAAGCATCTCCTACCTGTTTTATGTGGATCAGGAATCCTATCAGCTTTCTCAGTCACTCTCCAGGGCTCTTTATTAAATCCCACACAGAGCTTTGCCTGTCTGGATGCAACACCATGAGAATCAACCTCTGGAAAGAGGCTTGCATCTCTTAGACAAACACCTGCAATAGATTCCCACAATAAGCTTTATGAAACAAGTGAGGGCAAGTAGTGTCTTTTTTTTAAAAGTCATTGGAGAAAGGGATTATGGGTGAACCTAAAAGTCCAGCAAGGGAAACATTTTGTTCTATTCCCTTACTAAAAGGTAGCCTTTTAGCATTCAGAGCCCCGTGAAATGATAAACCTTGACTGTCCCAGGCTCCCCACAGCCCAACTACCTCACACTGGGACAAGCATTCTTGCAGGAGAACACACAGGGGCCCTTCCCCTACGAAGACTGGGTTGGTCTCATGACCTTTGATGTCCATTCATAGATCTTGTTTCACATAACCCTAGCTGTCCCAACTAACAGACACCGAGCCTGCATAGTGACTTTCTAGGGGATGAGATTTTTAAACCTTGCATAACTTACTACTCAAGCTGAGTTCAAAACAAAATCACTACCCAACCCTTCTATCATGCAGCTTCTACTTTAAGTGGACACAGGCATGTCAGGGTGCTTCTGTTGGTGTGAGGCCTTACCATTGCTCTCAATGTGCCCATTGGCCTGATGGCCACCCTCAGTCCTGACCACAGTTTCCTGCCGTTCAGAAAGGGTCCCCTGAGAAGAGAGGTAGCTTGGAACATCAGGTGGCACGATGGTTTCATCTGCAAGGAGATGGGACAATCATACACTAGGGGCCCCAACTCTCTGACAAGAAATGAAGACACACATCCACCATCAGGCCAAGAAAAAGGACCTGCCCAACAGCCTGAGGCTGTGCAGAGGGGCTCATAGAGATTCTCTATCTTCCCACACTCAGATGCTAAGTCTATGAAAGAGACAACTAACAGAAGGCACAGTAGTATAAGGTAAGTTAGGAACCATCTAACACATGGCCCCTGAGGACAGAACATAAAGACCTGTGCCTGAATTATCACAGAGATAGAAAACTACAGTTAATAACAGACTTCTATTTGAAATTATGTCCATAATGTGTTAACTTCTTGGAAGTTTCAATGGTGCTAGTGGGACTAAAGCCTCCGCTGTCCGGAATGATTCCACATTCCCAAAGGTTCTACAGTTCTGACTGTATCAAGATTCTTGACAAGTCTGTGGACCTCGCCTTATTCACTAATGTTCCTGCTTCCCCTCTTCCCCAGGAAGAAATTCAGCCAAGAGTGCCTGACCTGTGTTTGTGACACTGTACTCCTCACTCTTCTTCCTGGTTTGATAGATGATGCACACCCAGACCAGAGATGTCAGGACAATGCTGCACACAACGGCAATGGTGAAGATACCCATGCTGGTCCCATCCTTCCTACAGCCAGGGGTGGTCAAAATGCTTAGCTGGCTGTGAGCACGCTCTGTGCCTAGGGTGTTGGACATCTCACAGGTATATCTGCCTGCATCCTCTGCCACCACATTCTGAACAACAAGCAGTTGGTTGCCAGGGGTGAAGTGGTACCGTTCAGTGAGGCCCAGAGGCCGGTCCCCTTTGAGCCAGGTGATGCGGGGTGGTGGGCTTCCAGTGGCTTTGCACTGCAGTGCCACTGTTTCTCCTACAAACACCACACGATCTTCCAAGGGCGCCACCAAGGATGGCGTTTCTGCAAGAAGTCAGTGGAAATGTTAAAAGTTATTCTTAAGGATAAAGGATCATCCAACATCTCAAGGTAATACCATGTAAGATCTTGTCTCAAGAGTGGGCAACTTTTCAGAAGAGCTTCTAACACAATGACTACATCATAAAAAGCATTCTCGGGGTGCAGGGGAGAAGACTTTGATGACCTCTATTGTTTCCAGACTATCCTGTGAGAGACCTGAGTCTGTCTTCTGACTAAGACCATGTCCTTCCTACACAATTCAAAGCAGTTAGCTCTGCCTGGAGTTTTACTACTAAGCCCTATGAAGAGAGACTCTTCACGCACTGGCTGTTTTGAAGAGATGACTCCATTTCTTGAAATAAAAAAAATCTTACAAGACAACACCCACCTCCAACTCCTAGTAACCCTGTAGAACAAAGCAAAACTGTTGCAATCTTTATGGAAGCACCCTGGCTACATCTTTCTACCACAGACCAGCTGGTAGGTTCAAACCAACAACCTTTTGATTATGATTAGGACCTGAGTGCTTTCAGAAATACACCACTCCAACTCCAAGGCGAAATAGGACCAGCCCACCCCAAGCTCCAAAGAGAATCTTTCTCACACATAGACTTATGTACACAGTGTATCAATAAGCGAACCTAAGACAGTTAGGGTGGCATTAGCTGAAATGGAGCCAGCCGAGTTCTGGGCAGTACAGCTGTAAACCCCCATGTCATCTATTTTCACATCAGTGATGAAAAACACATCATCATCTGGCATGACGTGCATGCGTCGCTCTCGAGCAGCAGGGAAATCTGTGCCTCCGTCTTTCTGCCAGGCAATCTGGGGGTTGGGGTGGCCCCGAGCAGCACATTCGAGGCGGGCCATGGTGCCAGTCCGGATTGCAATGTCATGGGGCATTTTGGTGAATGATGGCAACACTACAAAACAGACAGACAGTCAGATGTGTATAGACAATAGGAAAATCCTCTGGCAAGCACCCATTACTGTACCTGACTGTTGAGTTCACCTCAACATTTCCATGCCAATGGCTTTACTGTTGCCCCCAAGAGCACCCTCCCTTTGTATCAGGCGTATTGGGTTCCCAAAGGCTACTCAGCAGTGTCTTCACCACTGCTGTCAGTCTCTCCGGGCACACCCATGGCTATATATATGCTCCTCAAATGTAAGGCATAGTAGAAACTTAGACCCCCTTAACTACTGCACCACCAGGATTCCTCGTTACTGGGCTGGAGGGGTGGCTATTAATGACTTACATCAGCCTCTCACCCCACAGCCTTCAATATGGAGGACCCTTGGCCCACTCAGGCTGGACTTCGACTTCACAGGCTGTGCCATCTACTCAAGAGAGCAGCAGCTTCCTCAAGAAGAAGATATACTGTTGTCATCAAGTCATTTCTACCTCATGGTCACCCCGATGTGCAGAACAGAAATGCTCCATAGGGTCATCAAGGCTCTGACTGTTTAGAAGCACGTCACCAGGCCTGACTTGAGGTGCCTAAGGGCAAGTTTGAACTAACAGCCTTTCCACTAGTAGCAAAGTGCTTCACTGTATGCACCAGCCAGGCACTCATGGAGGGCAGTAAATAAAAATACAAGGCTTAGCCTCACAATTTCATTTAATATAACTGGATGACATAGTCACCAAAAAAAAAAAAACCCTTCAGTCTTTAACATTTGCATACCCCAAAAACAGTAGGATCTAATAACATCATAATGAAACTTTGTGTTTCCTGTCTTAACCATGTAGAGATAAGTAATAGCCTATAATCATGAGTGCAGCTTCATAGGAATCTTACACCAGAATAAAGATAGAGCTTCCATACCATTCACGGTGAGCCTGGCTTTGTGTGAGTACGTGGAGCCGAAGTGGTTGGTGATGATGCATTGGTAGCGGCCCTCGTGCCCAAAAGTGACATGACGGAGGTGCAGAATGGTGGTGTACTCCATCACCTCCCCGTCTTGTGCACGGACGTGGGCGAAATTCTCCATGTCAGCATTGGCCAAGACTTCATTGTCCTTCTTCCAGGCGAAGGTCATAGGGGAGCTGCTGCTGCTGGCTGCTGAGCACGTGAACCGGATATCTTTGCCCAACACAGCCATGGTTGTCTCTGGCTGGGTGATAATCTGGGGCTTTGGAAAGTCATCTATGGGGAAAAGGACCAAATCTAAGTCACCCTAAGCTCTCAGTATACAGAGGGATCAGTTTCTGTCCAAACCAGAAAGAAACTGTCAGCCAGTGAGCAGGTAAAACAGCCATGACACCAATCTTTGAGGGTTCCCACAAGAAGTTCCACCAAGTCCCATAAACAGGATACACCATGAGTATGTAGGCTTATCTAATTACAAATCCATGAGAAGTTCTTGACTACATATTCATCTACCCAGTACTAAATTATCGAACCAGAAGCTTGCTTGAAAAGGCTACAACTGGCTTGAGCTACTTACTTTTCCATGATGAGGAATGCCCCACTCATGACTGCATGGGCACAACCCACACATCCTACTACAGAAAGACGTAGGGCAGGCAATATGTAGAGAGCTGCAAGGAAAGGACCTCCAAAACCTGTACTTCCATACAAGCAATGGACTCTCTCAAAAATGTTCCATATTACCCTTTCCAAGATTCTGGAAAGTAACCAAAGATTTATTTACAACAAACAGTCCACAAAGCACTGACTCAAAAAGAAAAAGGCTGACTTTCAATATGAAAAAGCAAGCTTGTGGCATCTTAACTTGTCCTAATCCCATTTCTTTCTCTACAGCTTTACAGTAGTCTTAAACCCTTGCAGCCTAGCCATCACTGAGGAAGGCGGAATGGGTCTGGAGTGTCCCTAAAAGGCCTCATCCTCACAGAATTGTCACCATGTGACGTATCTAGGAGCAATCTAGAAAAACCCCATTTGCAAGACTTAGTCATTATTTAACCTTATTCACCTCAATCAGTGACTAAAGTCCTATCACCAGGGTATTTGATGAAAATAACAGGCAGCCACTGTTTAACAATACAGATGTCACAGATTTTTAACAACAGAGAGGCAGATCTACCAGTTAGGGCAAACAAAAGGCTGGCCAAAAAGATTAAAAGAAAAACCCAGGTGAATGAAGTGCCCACAAACATTAAATAATAATTTTTCGCTATTTATATAATGAACTCAATAGAAATTTTAGACTTAAAAGTACAGTAACTGAAATGAAAAATTTTCGTGGGGGGACTTGAGAGCAGAAATTACTTAGGAAAGAAAGAACTGCCATGTTTGAAGGCAGGTCCGTTAATATTATCCAGTGCAAACAAAAAGAGAATGAAGGGAAATGAACAGAGACCTGTGAGATACCACCATGCACATGACAATATACAAATTATTAGAGTGCAAGAAAGGGGGGAGGGGATACAAAAAGAGTATCTGAATAAAGGCCCACAACTTCCCAAATTTGATGAAAAAACAATGCACACATCCAAGTAGTTCAATTAATGCCCAAGTAGGAAAAAAACACGAAGATACAGATCTAGACACATCATAGTCAAACTATCAAAAGACAAATCTTAGAAGCAGCAAAAGAAAACACTCATTACATGCAAGGGATCTTCAATAACATTAACAGCTGATTTCTCTTCAGAAACAGTGCAGGTCAGAAGACAATGGGATGACATTGAAAGCACTGAAAGAAAAAGACAGTATCAACTAAGAATTCTGTATCTTTCAAAAATGAAGGAAAAATTAAAATATTCATGCATAAGCATTAATTGAGGAGCTCTGGTGATGCAGTGCCTAAGATATGTGACTGCTAACCAGAAGCTGGTGGTTCAAACCCACCAGCCACTCCTCAGAAGGAAGGTTGGGCAATCTACTTCAGTAGTGATACTGCCTCAGAAACCCAAGGAGGGGTTGCTATGAGTCAGATCTGACTCAATGGCAGTGAATTTGGTTTTTTTGTGGGTTTTTTTTTTTTTTTTTTGGTTTTATGACTACCACATCTGTTCTACACGAAATCCTAACAGGAGTCCTTCACGTGGAAATTAAAGATAGTAACTCAAATCCACATGAAGAAATAATACCATTAAAAGTAACTACATAGGTAAACATGGGAAAAAAAAAAAAAAATCTCACTCCCATTGAGTGAGGACAAACTTTTGTTAAAGTGTACATTTTATATGGTAAAAGGGCCTATCTGGCACGAAAACAAATTTTATAAGCATACATGCATCTAACAACAAAGTCCCAAAATACATGAAACAAAAAATGACAGAATTAAAGGGAAAAATAGATAATCCAGTCAGTAATAGCTGTAGACATCAGTGTTCTACTTTCAACAATGCAGAGAACAAGTAAACAGAAAATCAACAAGGAATAGAAGACTTGAACAACAAGCACTATAAACCAGCTAGACCCAACAGATATCTAGAGCACCTCACTTAACAAGGACAGAATATAGTCTTTTGAAATGCACATGGAACATTCTCTAAACAGACCATATATTAGGTCATACATGTCTCAATAAATTTAAAAAGACTGAAATCATACAAAGAATCTTCACCAACTACAACAGAATAAACCAGAGCGCATTAACAGAAGGAATTCTGAAACCAATTTATAGAAATTAAACAATGTACTTCAAGTCAAAGGGGAAATTACAAGGAAAATAAGATGAATGAAAACAAAAACTCAATACACCAGGACTCAATATACCAGAACTTAAATGATGTGCTGAGAAAGAAATTTATAGCAGTCAATGCCTATATTAAGAAGTAGTATTTCAGATTACTAATCTAAGCTTACACTTTTTAAAAAACTAGAAAAAGGAGAACAAGCCGAACCCAAAGCAAGCAAAAGGAAGGAAATAATAGATGAGAACATAAATAAATAACAGAAAACAAATCAAAGTTGGTTCTCTGATTAGATTATCAAAATCAATAAATGTATAGCCAGAATGGCCCAAAAGGAGGAGGAGGAAAAAGAGAAGACTCAAATGACTAAAACTGGGAATGAAAGAAGGGACTACCAACTTTAAAAAAATTAAAATCAATAGAAGAGAATATGATAAACAACTATAGGTGAACAGATTAGAGAACACTGATAAAATGGTCAAATTTCTAGAAAAATACAAACTGACAAAACTTTCTCAAAAAAGCATAAAAAAATCTGAATAGATATAACAAGAGATTGCATTTGTCACGTCAAAGCTTCCCACAAAGCGAAGCCCAGATCCAGAGGGCTACGTTGGTGAATTCTAGCAAACAGTGAAAGTAGAATTATTATCAATCCTTCATAAATGGTACCACCCTTCAACCAAATAGTAGCAAACTGAATCCAGGAACATATAAAAAGGATTATTTATATATCATGAGCAAGTGGGATTTATCCTAGGAATGCAAAGATGCTGAACAAAAAGAAAGCAATCAGTGTTAATACTCCACAATAACAGAACACAGGGAGAAGACCCATAGTCATCAGCACAGGTGCAGCAAAAAGTGTCTGACTAGATCCAACCATGTTAGGAACAGAAGGGGCCTTCCTCAATATGACCTTCACAAAAAACCCACAGCTAACACCACACTTAACGATGAAACACTAGATACTTTCTTCAAGAACAACGCAACAGTGGGGATTCTTGCCATTTCCATTCAACACAGCACTAGACAGGTTATACTAGCCAGGGAAATTAGGTGAGAGAACTAAGAAACATTACTGAAAACTATAAAACGTCATTTTTTAAAAAATTAAAAAGCTGAAAATGAAAGCAGTAAAGACATCACAAACTGAATATTGTTAAAATGGCAATACTCTCCAAATCTTAAGGGCGTAGAAAAACCCACTGCTGTTGGGTCGATTCCAACTCATACTCCCACAGGGTTTCCAAGCCTATAAATCTTTATAGAAGTAGACATCCTCAACTTTCTTACGAGGAGTGGCTGGTAAATTCAAACTGCCTTTTGACCTTCTGGCTAGCTGTTAAATGCTTTTAATGGTTGTTGTTACGTGCCGTCAAGTCAGACCCGACTCATAGCAACCCCTCCTTGGGATTCTGAATGGTATCACTATGAAAGTAGATTGCCCAACCTTCCTTCCGAGGACTTCTGGTTAGCAGTCAAGTACATGGTAAGACTGCCTACATAGAAAATCTCAAGAAATCTACAAAAGAAAAAAAAAAACCAAACCCACATAGAATTTGTAAGTGAGTTCAGCAAATCTGCAAGATACAATATTTTGCTGTTGTCCTGAGATGCCATCCAGTTGGTTCTGACTCAGAGTGACCTAATTCACAAAACAAGGAAACAATACCTGGTAATTAACCATCCTCACAATCCTTGCAATGCTTGAGCCCATCATTACAGCCACCGTGACAATCCATCTTGTCTTCCCCCTTTTCACTGACACTCTCCTTTACCAAGCATGATATCCTTCTCCAAGGACTGGTTCCTTCTGACAGCATGACCAAAGTATGAGTGACGACATCTGCCCGTTCTCACTATTTTCACTTCTCAGGAGCATTCCAGCTGTACTTCTTCCAAGACAGATTTGCTTGCTCTTCTGGCTACTTTTCTGATGTATGTAATACTCTTCATCAACACCACAATTCAAAGGCATCAACTCTTTTTCAGTCTTCCTTATTCATTGTCCAACTTTCACATGCATATGAAAATGTTCACCACTTGAGTCAGGCACACCTTGGTCTTCAAACTGAATCTTTGTTTGTTCTTTAACACTTTAAAGAGCTCTTTTGCAGCGCATTTGCCCAGTGCATTGCATCATTTGATTTCCTGACTGTACCTTCTACAGGCATTGATTGTGGATCCAAGAAAAATGAAATCCCTGACAACTTTGATCTTTTCTCCATTTAATGTGATGCTGCTTATTGATCCAGTTGTGAGGATTTTCATTTTTTTTATATGGAAGTGAAATCCATACTGTAGTCTGTAGTTTTTGATCTTTATCAGTAAGGGCTTCAAGTCATCTTCACTTTCAACAAGCAGGGTTGTGTCATCTGCATTTCTCCCTCTGTAGATGTCCATATTCTGGATACTTCATTTGAATGGAATCATACAATACACCAAAATCCAGAAGCCAAACCCACCTTGGCTCACCCAGAGGGAAAATCTATGCCCTATGACAGAATGGAGGCAGAAAGGCCAAGGAAGATCAACTTCAGGGTGCTCTGGGAACAATTAAATGGTCACGGACCAGTGATGAACAAAGATTACATAGCCATTTGGTACCTAGATGATGGAAACTGCGCATAGCCTTACCGTAATATACTATCTCTCAGCTGTTGTCTTGACTGTTTTGGGGACCTGGCTAGGTCTTGAGTAGTTAAGTCCACTCTCCAACTACTCTCCTTATTGGCTTTGCACATTCCTGGGTCACTATGCACCTGCCCAAATCACCCCAGGTCCAGGTACCCAATAACTAGGGACAGCTTCTACATCCTGAGGGTGCAAAAAATATTAAAAATGCCCAATCACCAGGAAGCCTGGGAAACCTAGCGAAGGCCACACTGTTC